TGTTCAAATTGATATGTTTTGGTTGTTTGATGTTTTGGTTGTACCCAGATGCTCATATATATATATATATATATATATATATATATATATATATATATATATATATATATATATATATATATATATATATATATATATATATATATATATATATATATATATATATATATATATATATATATATATATATATATATATATATATATATATATACTGTGCCTCTACTCTACTTTGTTGATTCCTTGTTTGTTTAAAGTGAATATTTTCATTTTTTTCTTACAATTTTCAACATCGTTAAATATAACACTTTTACGTGTTTTAATTATCGATAAATATAACACTCTTACGTGTTTTCCTTATCGATGATTCCTCTTTTTCTAAATTTATTGTTAGGAAGAATTCCAATTGCTCGTTGTTGAATATTATCGGATGTCTTTGTTCTATGAGTATTGATTCGGCTAGTCGTAAATTATAATGGTTGTTATTGTATTGTAAGATTTCAACATTGTGGCCCAAGATTTGTCTAGTTATTTTAGTTTTGTGTCTCTAAAATTATTGAAAATTATTCCTAAAAAAAAATTTAATTTAAAAAAAAATTTAAATTATTCCTACTTACTACGTTAGAAATGTGGGTCCGTGTAGTAAGGAAGTTATTGAAAATCATTTAAAGACAAATGGTATAAACTTTAATAATTGTTTCCCGATCTTCCGTAAAAGAGCATCTGATGATGCATCAACAGCAGAGAAATCAACAAAATAATCCACAGCATTTAAAATCATTCATCCTTTATCGGAGCAACCTAAGTTTATTAACCCAGATATTTGGCCGAGATACACGTTCCTTCGCGAATGGGACTTCTCGTATACGAAAAAATCTGATGACAACGACACGAAGGGAAAATCGATCATCAACCATGGCGTCGTTAAATGATTGTAACATCACTTCTGATCTTGATAAAGCAGCATCCTTCACTGAATTTGAACCTTTTGAAGACAATGATGAAGTGGATGATAAATTTCATGATCCAAATGTTAATTTTTTTAATTTAAATAACCAATCGCCTTTTCTTTTACCTGAAAAAACTATAAATTATGTAAATAATGTAAACTCATTTTTTATGTTACATTTCAATGCAAGGCAATAATGTAAACTCCTTTTTTATGTTACATTTCAATGCAAGAAGTTTAATAAACAAAATGACTGAACTTAACAGCCTATTATATTTATGTAGCAATATTTTTTCAATCATTTGTGTTACTGATTATAATTATCATTTAATTAATTTACTTAACTTTAATTTTATATGCAAAAATCATAGCGATAAGGCTGGTGGCGGCGTTGGCATTTTTATCCACCAGTCTTTAAAATATAATATCCGTGATGACATCAATATCAGATCTTTGTACTTTGAATCACTTGTTATTGAAATTTGTGTAGCTTATGATTTAAACTATTTTATTTACGTAATTTATAGACCACCTAATTCTAATTTACAATTATTTCTTGACGACTTGAATAATTTGTTTTCAAAATTGAATTTTTCTTATAAAAAGCATATATATATATATATAATTATTTTTATGTAATGGATATCATAAATAATTTAAATAATTCCAATAGTTCTGGTCATGACCAAATTTCTAACTCCTTACTAAAAAAAGACAATGACAAACATTATTACTCCTCTTGTGCATCTAATTAACTTTTCTTTTTCTAACTGTATTTTTCCTAACTTTAAATTATCTAAGGTAATTCCTTTATTCAAATCTGGTGATAAACAGGAAGTCAATAATTATCGCCCCATTTCTTTGATCTCAAGTTTATCAAAAATTATTGAAAGAATTATTTTTAAAAGACTGTCTCTATTTCTTCAGTCCAATAACATCTTAACTACTAGTTAGTATGGTTTCCGTCCTAAGTTTTCTACCGAATTTGCTATTTCCGATCTGATCACTTTTGTTTCTAATGCCATTGAATCAAAAAAATATTCCATAGGCATTTTTTTGGATCTAACCAAGGCATTTGACTTTATTGATCATAAGATACTAAAAGATAAACTCAAGCGTTATGGCATTAGAGGTCCTGCTCATGAATGGTTTTTATCTAATTTAAGTAATCGTTCTCAATATGTCCAAATAAACCAAACTGTGTCCAGCTCTCTTCCCTTGAATCGCGGTGTGCCGCAAGGTTCAATTCTTGGTCCTTTACTTTTCACTATTTTCATTAACGATTTTGTCAACTCATCCAATGTTTTAAGGTTTATTCTTTCCGCTGACGACACAACCCTTTTCCACTCTGATCTAGACTTTAACAATCTTATCTTGACTGTGAATAATGAACTAAAGATAATATATGACTGGGTGTCTTCGAATAATTTCAATCAATCAATCAATCAATCCATCAATTAGCTTATAGAGCGCTATTTCCGCGATGTTCAACAGCGCTCCTCAATGAATTTTGAAAACAGATGAGTCTTGAGATCCACTCTAAACTTCGCAAGTAATGGAGAAGTAGTCAGAGAAGTAGGTAGAGAGTTCCAGAGAAAAGGACCAGAAAAAGCAAAAGCAGATTTGGCAAAAGAGTGTTTTACACGAATTAAGAAAAAGCGAGAAGAAGAAGACGATCGTAAACCGGGGCGTTTAGGTTCAATTAATATATCTGATAAATACTTAGGAAATAATTTAGATTGAGACTTATACATGAACGTGCAAATTTTAAAAAATTATTCAATATTTTATAGGTAACCAGTGCAAGAGAACAAGATATGGAGATATATGAGAAAAGAAAGGGGTACGAGCAACTAGACGAGCAGCAGAGTTAAAAGCTTTACTTAAAGGATAGAGTATAGAGTCAGGAAGACCATAGTAGAGCGAGTTACAATAATCAATTCTAGATAAGACTAACAAAGTAACAAGAAGGAGAAGAGTAGGATCATCAAGAAAAGGCAAAAGTTTTTTTATTCTACGTAGATGAAAGTATGAGTTTTTAGCAACACTATTAATCTGTGAAGAGAGAGACATAGTAGAATCAAAGATAAAACCTAGACTACGAAACTTATGAGAGACATCAAGAGTTTTAGAATCAGGTAAGATAATAGGAGGAATAGTAATAGAGTGTTTAGATTTATTAAAACAAATTTATTCAAACTTAGAAGGATTAAGTTTAAGACACATAGAGTCAGACCAAGCGATAATTGAAGAAAGACATAGAGATAAATTATGAAGAACTCTATTGAGATTAGATGGAGGAAAAAAAGTGTAAATGTAAGAATCATCAGCATATAGTTGACTAGAGAAAGAAAAGTTATTAATAATACGATGTAGTTCCGAAGTATAGAGTACCTTGAGGTACCCCGAAAGTAAGAGTAGAGGAGTTAGAAGTAGAATTATTGAGAACAACAGAAGAAAAACGATTACAGAGATAAGAAGAAAACCAAGATAGACAAGAATCAGTAATATTAAGAGAAAGATGCAGCAGTCTCAAGAGAATAATATGGTCAACAGTATCAAAAGCCGAGAAAAAGTCAAGAGCTAGAAGAAGTGTAAGATTACTATTGTCACTAGAGAGAAAGATGTCATTGCGTATCTTGAGTAAAGAAGTTTCAGTACTGTGAGCAAGTCTGAAACCAGATTGAGATACAGGTAGCAAGGAGTTAAAGTTTAAATAGGATGACAGTTGATTAAAAACTACTTTTTCTATTATTTTAGAGATGAAAGTAATATTAGTTACAGGTCTATAATTAGATAAAGAGGTAGGATCTAAGGATGAGTTAATTTAAGACTTAATTTAACCAAAACTGGCTATACTTTGTTTGGTCCTCCAATAAGTACCCGTTTACTGGATTCCACCATTCTTTTTAACGATATATGTATTAATCGCGTTGATTCTATAAAATTTTTGAATCTTATTAATGGTTCTTTGTCTTGGCTAGAGCATATTAATCATGTATCTAGTAAAGCATCGAAAAATATAGTATTATTTATCGTCTTTTGGTAGTGGTTTGGTATATAAACGAATTGTGAATTGTGATATGGTTTTAATTGATTATTTTTAATTGTTCAGTTACAATTCTTAATAATTCCGTAATAACAATTCTGAACAAATTAACAAAAAAAAACAAATTTAATTTATAATTTTGTTTATTTGTTTCACTAATTTTTATTGAAATTGTATTTCAAAAACTATATTTAAAACTATAGTTGTATAACAAAAACAGTTTATCTATTTTATTTTAGGCTATCAAATTTACTTTGCCTAGGGCCTTCAATTTTCAAAGGCCGGCCCTGGATGGCTATGATCCATTATCGATTCTGGTTTACTAGTGCAGTTGTTTTTCATCACAAGAGATGACGTTCTTTGGTTAAAGTAGTATATTCGTAGTTTAGTGTTATCGTTTTCGTTGATTGCTTGGATGTATTTTTAATGAATCTTTTCATAATTTTTTCATCCTGTTCGAAGCGGTTCACATGTGAGTACTCTTCGCAAACTTCTGTTGGACATATCGAAGAAATGTTATTTAAAGAAGAACCAGAGCTAAAACCTAATATATACTGCCGAAATGTTGACGATGTATTTGTTGCATATGAAACTGATGATCAAATAGCAAGACTTCTACAACAACTAATACAAAATGTGCAGAATGAATTTAAAATCTCAGTTTAAACCAAAACAACAAAGGTTTATGCCTCAATGACTGTAATAAAACTGTAATAAAACTAATTAATAAATTTATAAATAATGCACTGACGATGACGGTTTAACGTCGAAATAGATCTATCTGCAATAATTTTGATAAAATGTTTGTTAATAAAAATAAAGCTTCAATTATTCTCAGACAGACTCAACCTTGTCGATAAAAATTTACTAAGACAAATTGGAAAATTCGAATACAAGTGGATAAACACTAATAAATCGGTGGAATTTATTACATATTGTCAAGAATTCGGTCTTCTACCAGTATATATATATATATATATATATATATATATATATATATATGTTAAATCGCAAGTTTTAATATCAGTAAAATAAGTTCAATATTAATATCAATTATATTATTCCATGTTTCATACGCTAGGTCCAAATCGTGCTGTAACTCATCACGAGTTTTCCGCTTATCTTCAATTTCGCGAGATATTAAATTTCTTCTGTAAGATAAAGTAATATCCTGATATTTATTTGTTAAATCGCAAGTTTTAATATCAGTAAAAATAAGTTCAATATTAATATCAATTATATTATTCCATGTTTCATACGCTAGGTCCAAATCGTGCTGTAACTCATCACGAGTTTTCCGCTTATCTTCAATATATATATATATATATATATATATATATATATATATATATATATATTGGATTAAGATTAGGATTAAGACTGCCAGAAATGCAATTATTGATGAAAATCACAGCATATTCGGCGTTAGTTAACTTCCAATTTAACTTATCGATTTTTCTAACGGTTGATCGTAAATCATTTTCAAGTTTCTTTAGTTCAAAACCGAAAAAATTTTTGTTTATTTTCATATGATAGAACAAAATGCTTTTTTCGGTATTCGTATAGCATTTTCAATGTACAGTTTGATATGTTGTGTATGTGCCCAGATGCTCAAATTTAAATATACTGTGTCTCTACTCTACTTTGTTGATTCCTTGTTTGTTTAAATTAAATAATTAACGCTCATTTAATTAGTTTTACAATCTTCAACCTCGTTTAATATAACATTTTTACGTGTTTTCATTATCGATGATTCCTGTTTCTAAATTTGTTGGCAGGAAGAATTCCATTTGCTCGTTGTTGAATATTTATTATCGGATGTCTATGTTTTATGTAACAAATATATCATCATGAAGATGATAACTTGGTCTTCGTCATACCAATATATTCAGAATTATGGTGCCCACACTCGCCAATATTACATTTGAACAAATATATTAGATGGCTATAATACATTATCGATTCTGGTTTACTAGTGCAGTTGTTTTTCATCACAAGAGATGACGTTCTTTGGTTGGAGTTGTATTATTCGTAGTTTAATAGTTTTTATTGGTTGCTTGGACGTTATTTTTTATGATTCTTTCATGAATTTCTAATCCTGTTCAAAAGCGGTTGACATGTGATTTTTTTTAATATATTACTGATATTTTTGTTACTATTGTTGGTTGCATTGTTGTTGTTACTGATTTTTTGTTCTTTACATTGTAAAATTTTTGGATCAAGCAATTTTGATATCCTTTGTTAATGAATAGTTAAGTGATTCTATCTAAATCAAATTTTTTACAATATGTAATAAATTCCACCAATTTATCAACTTCAATCAATCAATCTTCGTTTTGCGTCCAGAAACCCGGTTTCCCGAGGTAGGACTTGTTTTCATTGCCATCAACTTTTTGCGCCAAATTAGACGATCAGTTGTATCCATTTCATTTAAATTTAAAGCTTTCATGTCTTGCTCGATTGTTTCATGTCTTTATATCATCTAAACCAGCACGACGCAGGATTTCGGAAGATTTGATGTGGTCCTTTAGACTGATTCGTTGCATTCATCGGAGCATTTTCATATCGGTTCGTTGAAGTTCTTGTTTCAGTTTGGTTGTCATTGGCCATGTTTCTGCACCATATAACAACACCGGACGTATCACAGATTTATAGTCTTGATCGTTGTGGTAGTGGGATGTCACGCCGCATCAATATAGAGGCAAGGAGATGCCATTTATTCCAGGCTACACGTATGCGTGCTCGAACGGCAGCTTCAGCTGTTCCAGTACAATCCAGAACATTCCCTAAATATTGAAACAATGTGACTTTCTCTACCTTAATGGCTTCAAAAACAGTGCTATTTCGAATTTGTTGTTGTGGATTGATGCAAGCAGGACAAACAAAATTGGACACTTTAGATAAAGTACCAATTATTTTTGAACAACGTTTGTGACACCACTGGTTACACTGCTGACACTTGATTGAATTGTTAGCTACACCAGCTTTACAAACTGAACAAGGCCATCGTCCAGTAGCTGTGGATTGGATGGGTTCACCAGTGTTCATTGCTTTGGTTTTGGGTTTTGCTGATGTTGACTTTGAATCCATTATCGGCGAGATACTGGTGTTCCAATCTTCAAACATCTGTGCTGCATTCTGCTCAGACGTGGCTGTTAAAACGATATCATCAGCATATATTAGATTCCAAATGTCACCAGTGTGTATCGGTGTTGTGTTTTCTTCCATCACAGTTATAAATATCAGTTGACTGAGAATCGAGCCTTGATGAACTCCAACGCCGATGTCAAATGCATCTGTGTTTCCAACCGTTGTGCTGACAAGAGTCTTAGTATTCGTATATATTTCCATCACAAGTCGAACAAGACTCCACCTGATTGCTTCACGGGGAACTCGATCAAATGCTTTTTCAAGGTCTACAAAAATGTGTGATAGTTGTTGATTCTCCGAGGCATTTGTTTAGACCTATGTTGTGACAGTTTGACAACCAGGTCTGCCACAAGGAGTCTATGTTGGGCGACACATGATTCGCCAGGTATAACTTTGACGTTTTTGAATAGCCTTCGGTGTTGTTGTTTGACAGCGAAGAAATCAATTTGCGTGGCTGATGGTCTACTTTTTTATGTTATGAGATGTTCCAACCTCTTGTTAAAATTTGTGTTCTGTAAACAAAACCCGTTACTTTCAGCAAACTCAAGGATGCGGTTGCCATCTTCATTCCGTTCTCCATAGTTAAAACCGCTATGTACGTTGTCAAAACCATCTGTTTTCTCTCCAACGTGGCCATTGAGATCGCCTCCAATCAGGATTGTTTCAGATTTTGGTATTGTTGAGATGGTGTCAGAGAACGCAATTTTGACAAAAAAGCTTGGACAAAAAGTTGGTGTTTCAACCTTCTACGAAATTGAATGACAGACAACGTAGGTGCGCGAAGATCCCTTGGCAGACCCTTCCAGACAGCAAGACCCATTAAGGAAAATTTCTACGACCAAAAGTCAAGTTTGTACAAAGAGTAAACCTGAATTGTCAAAGGGCAATGTTTGACTCCGTAGTGTCACTGTTCTAGAATTAAATTTTGTTTATCTGTCTTAAAATCAATCATTTATTAAATTGTCAAACCTATTAACCCTATCGGGAAAAATAAAACTACGAATTTATTATAGGAGTGCAAAAAAATCAAACCTTGTCATGAACATCAACTGCACTCTTCTACATGGTTCGCTTTAAAAAGTAGCCATCTGATATATGAATTTACATGTTCCATTGACGGCTGTGCACGTCAGGTTTCATATATCGGGTTAACTGCAACATCGCTAACCAGACGTCTTTGCTTCTCTCTCGATCTTCATTCCCTTTCTCCTGAGAGCTTGTAAACGAGACGGTTCGAGATTCACGTAAGAATAAAGTTAACAATTTATTGCGCCTGAATTGTGTTTGTTTTGTTTATTTTAGTTCACAACAAAGTGTCTTGTTAGTAGCAGAACACTCGTACTAGCAAGGGAATAGAAGTTTGTGGCTATTCGACGATTGTTTTGTAGATCATGGTGCTTAAAGTTCAGAAAATCTTCATAATTGGTTTGAGTATTTCAAACAATCAAAGCTAAAAAAATTGTAAAAGACATTATAAAAATAATAAAATTAATAACTTGATATATAAGAAAAATTAATTTGTATTCAAATTGCAGACTACCTTCTCACAAAAATATTTTCATTTTAAAGATGTATTTATTTGTACTAATGCTACAGATGAGCTTAGAGCCGCAAACTTATAAAATGATAACTTTTCATCAACTAATTTGTTAATGACTTTGACCAAATGAATTTAAGGATATTTTTTTAAATGGTTTAATTAAATTATTTATTCCAATTTTCAACAAATATTAAAATAAATATATATACGTCTAACCTCGGGAAACTGGGTCTCTGGACGCTAAACGAAGATTGATATATATATATATATACATATATATATATATATATATATATATATATATATAATACCTCTTGCGACTGAATGGGTTCTTAAACCTTGTAACAACGAGATGTTGTTCTTACCTATTGGTCGCGACACCTCAATTTGAGTTTCTTGGTTACAATAATTGAGTTTTGTTATCTTAAACCTTATTCGGCAGGCTACTGACGAGTCTCGTGAGAGACGAAACGTACGTCTGGCCTAAGGCGGGTAATGGTTTACCAATAATATATATATATATATATATATATATATATATATATATATATTCGGCGTCTTTAGGAAGTCTAAATGTTGCCGTATATCTCAATAGATCATCATGGTAATCTATTGAGATATAATATATAAAATATATATATAATATATATATATATATAATATATATATATAATATATATATAATATATATATATAATATATATATATAATATATATATATAATATATATATATAATATATATTATAATATATAATATATATATAAGATATAAGTTCAATAATGTTATACAAAAAGCATTGTAAAAGTCATATAACTATAATAAATATAACGACCTTCGCTCACTTTCAACGGTCAAACAAGGAGCTTACTTCCCGAGAGGAGTTGGAGGGTGATTTTTTATCGTTCGAGTCAAAAGTTACGATCGTATATTTACTACTTACGGAATATTGCTTTTGTTTAAAATTTTAATTTTTTTTAATTGTTATTCTGTTATTCAATGTGGTAATTAATCACTTTTATTTGATATAAATTTAAAAAAATAAAATCGACATTACCGAAAATAATTAAAAGTTGAACAAATTGAGATTCTTTGTATATCCCTGCTTCAACCCATAAGAAAGTGTTGGATATTGGTAAATAGGTCTACCCTTGGTAAAAGTAATTATTTAGTAAATTTGTGTAATTTTAGCATAAATAAACTTTTTATCCAACAATTTATTAATAAATTTGTAATAACTAAATGGAAAAAAGAAATTGACTTGAATAAGTTTCCGTTATCATACATAAACTTACATTTTAATGAATAACACTATATTTTAATTAAGAAAAATTGGTAACACATTAATGAACTTCATTTTATCGATGAAAGGAGAAGCCTACATCTTTGGTTAATTTATTAACCCAACGATTAATAGAAAAACCATCTAACTGGAAAAACTCAAACTTATTTGGAAAAGATGTTAATTTCAGTTTCACATGTTCCTAAGCGAAATGGACTGAGATCGGCAAAACTCGGATATTTTTTGTCCTCCGTTCAAAACTTCTTATTTTGGTGAAAGGATGTTTTAAGTTGCAGCAGTCCAAACTCGTAACTCATTGCCGCTTGATCTAATAGTTAACATTAATATCAGTCGTGAGATGTTCAGAAACCGCTTAAAACATTTTCTTCAACAAAACAAAGCAAATTAGCACTTATGAAGAAAGCTAGTAGAGACGCTCTACATGTTTACAATACAATAAGTGATTTGGATTTTTAAATTTTCTTTTTGCCTGCTATTTAAATAAATTGTTTTAAATCATATTATTTTATCGCCTAACTTTATCATATCTGTCAACCGGATCGGAGCAATTTGATAAATACATTTTTTAAATGCATTGGAAAATTTATTAATCTGATATTTTTTACATTTTGTATCGAATTCACAAATATGAAATGTTTTTCGTTTTCTTGAATGTCATCTAGTTTTTGTTATTATTATTGTATTTTCTGTGGCCATTTTTTGGTTTTACGTCTTAATGTATTTTTTTTACTTCAAAAATGTTGGCAACAAGTTTTTTTTTTAGTTTTTACTTTTTATTTTTAGAATTGTTTTAAAAACTGTCTATTAGATTGGATAGATTATAAATAACTGCGATTTTTTGTGATTTTGTTATGAAATTGGAATGCTCTTCGTGAATTACGAGAAACAATTTTACATTGTGCAAATGAGGAGCGATAACCGTTTGTAAAACCATTCAATAAATTATCGATATTGAAATAAAAAAAAAACATAAATTTGCGATGAATGTGGAGCCCCAGAGCTCGGGCTTTTTAAATCTCAAAACGCACACAAGTGCACACACGCACAATCACACACACATACAACTTTTCATGTAATTAACGTCGATGATCATTGTTCAATCAATCAATTTCTCAAGCGATGTACAATGAATTTCACAAACAAATAGGCCTTAAGATTCACTCAGAACTTTGTAAGTGATGGAGAGGTATCTAGAGAAAAAGGGAGAGTTCCAGAGAAAATAGCCAGAAAAAGCGAAGGCAGATTTAGCATATGAGTGTTTAACAATAGTTATGAAGTGAGAGCGAGAAGAGCATCGTAAACTGGGGAGTTTAGGTTTTATTTATTTAACTAATAGGTTCTTAGGAAATAATGTTGAGACATGTATATAGACAAGATATGATGATATGAGAAAAGATAGGGCACGAGATACAAGACGAGCAGCAGAGTTGAAAAGCTTCACTTTAAGGATAAGGTTCTGATTCTACCAGGAAGACCATAGTAGAGCGAGTTACAATGATCAATCAAACTAATGAAGTAAGAGAATAAAAAAAAATATGAAGATTAACACTATTCGATTGACAATGCATTGTTCTTGCTCAATAGCTGGCGCATAATAAACCTAAGCTTCTTACGAAAAACTGAGCCTACTGCAGTGAAATTTTAGACAAAATTTTTTTTTATATATCTTTTTAAGAACTTCTTGCTTGCTGGCTTGTCTTAGAATCTTGTAATCGATTTTTCGATAACTTCGTATTGTTCGATTAAGCTAAAATTTTGTATTCATTTTTTTCCAATAACAATGCATGATTTAATAACTAGCAGACTTAAATAAATTATTTATTTGATCAATATATTTTCCAGCGAATAAATTGTCATTTTTACCAATCTCCTCTATGATTTTTCTTAAATAAAAATAAAGTTACTGAATTATTAAATTTAACACAATTTTACTATTTTCAAGGTTTGAAAATGTCGCTGGCAGACAAACGATCAAAGTATCAGCGCAGTCAAACGCTATCTTACATACGTATAAACAAATCACAACAAAAACAATCTCAATCTTCAGATTCATCAGTATCATTAGAAAAAATATCAAAAAATACACTTCTACCACAAAGTCCTGCAAATCGAACTGAAACAAAAACCGAAACTCCAATATCAACCAGATCTTTGACACCTCGCTCACAAAACGAACAGCAAAGTCTATTCTCAAACGAAAATATTAAATTACCGCAAAAATGGATTAATAGCAGTCTCAATCAAAGCGTAAAAGTCAGACCAAAATCGCTGACACGGAAAATCAGTTATAATGAATTTCATCATTCATCCTCTATACTATCTTGCAGTAAGTCATCGAATGGGTCAATAAATATTTTTAACAGAGTAAAAGATAAAATAGTTGAAACAGTTTACCACACCCAAGATATGCCGCACTGGGCGGCAATTGTTCAAGAAAAACGACAAAAGGCCGCAAATGAATACGAAGCCAAAATAGTGGACACTTTGAGCAGAGAAAGATCTAACGAAATTTCTCAAAAAAACTGCAAACTTCTAATATCATCTACCGAAACGAACGAACCCATTTCGCAAAAAGATAGCAGTATAATAACCAAGCGTGAAAAAGCTCGACAAGGTTTCAGGAGACGGTCTATCAGTCAAGATTCCTACCCTCAAAATCTGTTGCTTCCAAAAGCAGGCACCCTGACGGCGAAACAGTCAAATGAAGGCATAACATGCTCGTTTGGAGATTTTCAAGCAATTCTTCAAGAATTTAATAATTACATGAGAGAATCTAAAGGCGCTTCAAAATCTTCTTCAACAGCATCCAATTTTTCCAAACACGAAGATCAAACGCATTGTGTTAAAACACCTTCCGACAACACACCTAACGTTATAAACGAGTCTACAATTACTCAAAAAGTTAAATCCAGTGCAGAAAAAAACTCTAAAGAATCAACCTTTCTTCATGAGTTTAGCTTGGCCAGAATTGCAGAAACAGACTGTACTGCAAGGAATTCTTTTGATGCTGTGGAAGTTGAATATGATGAAAATGGTCAAACATGGGGAGTTTACGGAGCAGAAATAGACCCAGAAATATTAGGGAATGCAATTCAGCTGCATTTGCAACGACTAATAGACCAAAAATTAAACATTAACGAGTCCGAAAAAAAGCCCATCAGGCCAAATCGTAAATATGAAATGAAACAGATGAGTTCAGAAGCATCATGCTTCGTGTCAAAGTTTTTCTGTTTTATTAAAAAAAAAAGTTGTGACGTAAATATTACGGATGAATAAATAAACTAAGTAAACTGAGTTCCGTTTTTAATTATTGTTTGTGACAGCAATTTCGTACCATAAAACGATTTTTATCAATACAACATCCTGTGTAATTATTATATTTTGTACATTATTCAAATAAATTTATATGAATGACTTAATATTTATATATGAAAGTTAAAACAAATTTGTTATTAATGTAATCCTGATACAAAACATTCAAAAAAGTTTTTAGAGATGAACAGTGAAATCAACAGGATGTGATAATGTGTCAGATGAACCTCTGAACAATGCGTCGCTTAAAATGCTTTGATCCAACTCTATAGATTGCCTCAGTGCTGCCATTTGCTTCTTTGATCTGAATTGACATTAATATCATTTTAATAAACAATAATCTCTAAAGTCAATATAAAATTTTCAATAACCTTGGTTAATATTAAAACAATACAAACGTTGCAACTAATTAGAAAATCATAAAACCTCTGAGTTTCAAAACAATTAAATCAATCAAATAAAAAAAATTAAAAAAGGAAATAAAATAAACAATTTAAACAAGCTTTAAGAAAAAACATACTGGAAAAATTCTAGAAATAAAATGAAATGAGAATGAAAAGTAAAATTAATAATCACGATTTAGAAAGTACTTAGAAATGCTCAGTTGAAATACAACGAAGATTGCAACAAATGAGTCACAATTTGCAACCCTTTAATTTATTGTTATATACAGTTATACGCGCACACGCACACACATACAAAATATTGCTGTTTCATTTCGCCTGTTTTAAATCACAACACGTAACATTTTAGGTACTATTTTATTTTATTTGGTTTGGTTTACATTTCCATTTATTGCAATATTTGTATCTCACACAAGGCTCGGAAGATGGCGTTTAAACCGAACCAACGTTGTTAGCCAAATTATGTCACTAGTTTTCAATTAATACGATTTAGAACAATTCCATATCGTTGAGTGTATTTTCAAAAAGTTAATTCTGGCTAAGTGGGCAAAAATATTCGATAAAATTTGCATAGCTGAAAACCTCGTCCCATATATATATATATATATATATATATATATATATATATATATATATATAGGTAATAGAACATAATTTTTACAATATTCTATAAATTCTACCGAATGTTTGGAGTTAACATGTTTGTAGTTCGTTTTTTCGATTTTTCTCACTAAAGTTTTTTGGTGAACGTTTAATTTATTAAAATTCAAAATAAACTTATTTTCCGAATTCATGCTGCAAATAATCATCCCATCCGACCAATTATTAGCCAAATTACAACCGTCACATACCCTGTTGCAAAATTCTTGAACAAAATTTTAACCCCATATATTCCAAACAATTACACACTACAATCTTCCCGTGAGCATTAATAAACCATCCAAATTTATTGCCTCTCTGGATGTTGAATCGTTATTCACAAATGTACCAATTCATGATACAATTGACATAATTATCAACACCGTTTACCACTCAGATATGGTTCCATTGAGCATACCGAAAGCACAACTGAAGTCCCTTCTTCAAATTTGCACTACCGAAGCACCATTCCACAGCCCAACAGGCAAACTTTACAAGCAAATCGATGGTGTCGCTATGGGTTCCCCCCTTGGCGTCCTATTTGCCAGTTTTTACCTAGAATATCTGGAAAATGAGACCTTCAAAAACAATGCAAATTTAAAACCAAATATCTACGCTAGATACGTTGATGATATCTTTGTCTCCTATAACGATCCTGAACAAATCGCCCAACTTCTTGGTACCTTAAACAAATCAAAACTAAGATTTACCATTGAAATTGAAAAGGAACAACGTTTACCTTTCCTCGATGTGTTGGTCACCCGTGGCGAAGAACGATTCAAAACTGCGGTCTATGTCAAAGAAACAAATACAGGAATTTGTTTGAATGGACAAAGTGAATGTACCGAACAATTTAAAGACAGCACAATAAAATCATTTGTAAACCGGGCATTCACACACTCTTCCGATATTGAAAATCGCGACGCTGAATTAAAGAGTCACTAACCTGCTTGTAAACAATGGATATAAGACTTATTCTATTAAAAAATTGTTAAAGGCAAATTAACACAACAATAATCTTCCTAGTACCAACAATCAAGATAACGACATTATCTTGTATTACAAAAATCACATGTCAACTGCATACAAAGTAGATGAAGCTATTCTTAAACATATCATCAATGAAAATGTCACACCAACCAACCCAAATAGTAAAGTTAAACTCCGAATTTATTACAACAATAAAAAGACGTCTCACCTAATACTAAAAAACAACTAGAGATAACTCTGTGTTAAAGCGTAATCACGTAATGTATGAATTTAATTGCCCCTTTGACGGCTGTGCACGTCAACATGACTCATATATCGGGATTACTACTACCTCACTGACTAGAATATATATATGTATGTATGTATATACCAATACATTAAAGGGTTGCGTATTATATATGTTTTACGTAAATATGTATCCATTTATCCATAACGTAATATACATGTATGTATGTATTACGTAAATATGTATCCATTTATCCATAACGTAATATATATGTATGTATGTATGTATGTATATTATATATATATATATATACAATTATTTATAAAGATCACTGCGTCTTCGGCATTATTCAACTTGTAGTTGAGTTTCTCAATTTTTCTAACGAGACTTTTATCATCTTGATGAAGTTTATTAAGGTCAAATAAAAAACTTTTAATATTTGACATTTTTGACAAAACATTATTGATAACGTTATTACTACAGAAAAGCTCTTTTCGGCATCAACTGCCATCATCAGTGTAGTTATATAGTATTGTTCCGTCTTTGTGTCTTTGTTTTCACAGCGACTTTGATTGTAACTTAATTAGAATTAAAGTTAATCATGTGTTTCTTTGTTGGAAGAAAATTGGTATTATTTAGATGAATATTTATTGCTGGCTTACGTTTATCGTATTCTGCTATCTTCAATTTGAAGTATTCTCTGTAGTAATAAAATTTCCCTTGTTATAGTAGTATTGTGTTGTTCCATTAGGTGGTCTTTTATTTCTCCATGCTGCTTATGCAGTGAGTCTTCTTGTTAATGTTGTTGTAGTCAGAATTTTGATGCATGCACTCACCAATTTTACATGTGAATAAATAAATCAAATGACTACTTTTCATATCCAAGGAAGGTTTAGCGTTGGAATTGTTTTTTATTATTAGAGATGATGTTTTCCTGTTCGTGTAATAAATTCTTAATTTGAATGAGCTGTTTGTATCTATGACTTTAACATTGTTATTTATTATCTTTTTCATTAATTTTTCAACTGTTTTATATGATGAGGACATACTATTTTTATAATAAATTATGACGTTAGAAAAATTGGAAAACTCAACTACAAGTTGAATAATGCCGAAAACGCCTTAAACGGTAAAGGGGTGCTAACAATTCCAGGGAAGTATGCAATAGCGGAGGGATGTTGCAGAAAAATTCAGAATGGCCCCTCTATAGTAATTAGACTTTGAACGCTCAATGTTGGATCACTGACTGGCCGCAGCATGGAAATTGCAGAAATGCTCGAGCGTAGGATTGACATCTGCTGCTTTCAGGAGACCCGATGGAAATCGAATGGTGTCTGTCATATCAACTCAGACAAAGAAAAATATAAACTATTCTGGAATGGTCAAAAGACGGCCAAAAATGGTGTTAGAACTTTTGTCAAAAAACCGCTAGCCCAAGAAGTACTAGATATTAAAAGGATTAATTCACGTCTCATGTGGATCAAGTCACGGGTTTTGTTTACTGAACACATATTTTAGAAAAAGGTTGGAACATCTCATAATATACAAAAGTAGACTATAAGCAACGCAAATTGATTTCGTCGCTGTCAAGCAACAACACCGAAGGCTATTCAAAAACGTCAAAGTTATACCTGGCGAATCATGTGTGGCCCAACATAGACTCCTTGTGGCAGACTTGGTTGTCGAACTGTCACAATATAAGTCTAAACAAATGCCTCGGAGAATCAAAACGTGGAAGCTGAAAAGCAATATTCATCGAGAAAATTTCAACAGATTGTCGCCACACAGTTAGACCACCAATCGCAAGCCAGTACAGATTGGAGTACATACAAAACCGTTTTAATGAACGCTGCAACTACAGTTTGTGGGAAAACTGGTACAAAACGTCAGCATGAACGTGACACTTGGTGGTGGAATGACAGTGTACAAAATGCAATAGCTGAAAAGAAAGTTGCATACAAGCAATGGCAAAAATCAAAGTCTGTTGATGACAATAAAATTTTCCGTGAGAAGAACAACTATGCAAGACGTCAAGTTGCACTGGCTCGGACAGATCAGTGCAGAGAGTGGCTCACTAAAAGCAAAGGTGAACAAATGAAATCTCTGTATCGTATAGCAAAACAAGCAAAGAGTACGAAAAAAGACATAGTTGGTGCCTCATGTATTAAAAATGACAAAAATGAGATGGTTCTTGAACAAGATGAGATCAAGCTACAGTGGAGAGAATACTTCAACCGTCTGTTAAACGAAACAAATCCCATCAATGTTAACTTTGACGCTCCACCCATCGAAGGTCCAGACATAACTGTAGAGGAGCTTACAGAAGCTCTGAAAGCTATAAAAAATGGAAAGGCAGCAGGGCCCTCTGGACTCACAAATGGCATTATCAAAGCATCTGGTACTGCAGGTATCCAAACGTTACTACAACTTTGCCGTGAAGTGTGGAAAAATTGCTCAATGCCGACTGAATGGAACTATAGCATGACAGTCCCGCTATACAAAGGCAAAGGTGATCCGTTGAACTGTTCATCATATCGGGGTATACGTCTGTTAGAACACTCCCTGAAAATTGTCGAAAAAATCATTGAGAGAAGATTAACGTCGTGCATCACAATCGGAAATTATCAATTTGGTTTCCTAGCGGGGAAATCAACAATTGATGCAATTCACATCCTTCGGCAACTGCAAGAGAAGTACCTCGCAAAGCATCAACAACTATCACACATTTTTGTAGACCTTGAAAAAGCATTTGATCGAGTTCCCCGTGAAGCAATCAGGTGGAGTCTACGTCGACAACTCATTCCAGAATATCTTGTTCGACTTGTGATGGAAATATATACGAATACTAAGACTCTCGTCAGCACAACGGTTGGAAACACAGATGCATTTGACATCGGCGTTGGAGTTCATCAAGGCTCGATTCTCAGTCCACTGTTATTTATAACTGTGATGGAAAAAATCACAAAACCGATACGCACTGGTGACATTTGGAATCTAGTATATGCTGATGATATCGTTTTAACAGCCACGTCTGAGCAGAATGCAGCACAGATATTTGAAGATTGGATTACCCGACTCGCCGATCATGGATTCAAAGTCAACATCAGCAAAACCAAAGCAATAAACACTGGTGAACCCATTCAATCTACAGCTACTGGACGATGGCCCTGTTCAGTTTGTAAAGCTGGTGTAGCTAACAATTCAATCAAGTGTCAGCAGTGTAACCAGTGGTGTCATAAACGTTGTTCAAAAATAATTGGTACTTTATCTAAAGTGTCCAATTTTGTTTGTTCTGCTTGCATCAATCCAGCAACAACAACAACACACGTTTAGACGACATTTTCCCCGAGATCGGGGGTTGCCGTTTGGCTACCTATGATGAAACCGAAATACCCCTCGACGCCATCCACATCTGTCACTCGCCTCAGTATCACGCAACCCCGAACCTCGAACTCCAACGCTCGCCTAATCCCGACCCTTTCATCTCTTCTCAACACATGTCCATACCACCGCAATCTCGATCTCCTTATCAATGTCACAATGTCCTAATTCAGTCCCATCATCGACCTCAGCTCTGTACTACTCCTCCTATCCTTCACTTTAACCCCACACATCATCCTCACCATAGCTCTTTCAGCCCTCTGCAGTACACTTTCTTCCTCTCTCCTCAACACCCAAGTTTCACCACCATATACCATCGCTGCTCTCACACATGCTTTATATACCCTCCCTTTCATCTTCACTGACCATTTCTTTCCACACAATAGCCCACCCAGTTCCCTAAATTTCATCCATTCTACACAAACTCTAGCCGTAACTGCGCAACAATCCACAACAACAAATTCGAAATAGCACTGTTTTTGAAGCCATCAAGGTAGAGAAAGTCACATCGTTTCAATATCTAGGGGATGTTCTGGATTGTACTGGAACAGCTGAAGCTGCCGTTCGAGCACGCATACGTGCAGCCTGGAATAAATGGCATCTCCTTGCCTCTATATTGATGCGGCGTGACATCCCACTACCACTACGATCAAGACTTTATAAATCTGTGATACTTCAGGTCTTGATGTATGGTGCAGAAACATGACCAATGACAACGAAACTGGAACAACAACTTCAACGAACCGATATGAAAATGCTCCGATGGATGCAACGAATTAGTCTGAAGGACCACATCAAATCTACCGAAATCCTGCGTCGTGCTGGTTTAGATGATATAAAGGACGAATGCTGGCATCACCGTCTGCGGTGATTTGGTCATGTCAAACGAAGTAGAAACAGTGCCATAACTTCTCTTGCAGATGTTGAAGTCCCAAGGGCCGTCCAAAGAAGTCCTGGTCGCAAACAATCGAGCAAGACCAGAAAGCTCTAAATTTAAATGAAATGGATACAACTGATCGCCTACTTTGACGCAAAAAATTGATGGCAAAAAAATAACGTCTTATCTCGGGGGAACTGGGTCGCCGGACGCTTAACGAAGATTGATTGATTAATTGATTATACTTAAATAAAAGTTCAACTAGTCGTAATTCAGCATTCCCTCTTATTTATATTTACCTTCGTTATATTATTATCTAAATTTGTTTAATTTTTTTTACATTTGTCATGTGATCAAATTGCTAAACTAGAATAAGTTGACGTGCATTAAATATTACGAAAATTAAATAAATTTCAAAAACCATTCTGTCTCATTAAGTTTATGACATAAATATTTAAAGGTGTTCCTGCATTGAATGAACTTTTAATGCCAATCACTTCCGTTAAAAAAATCAGATCAGTGTAAAACTCCCTGCTTATGATCATTGCCCTTTGCCCCTGAACCCACTCCGTTCTATAGCGTTACCTGCTATGCACATTAAGATTGAACGGGTCCGCGGGACAAAAAAAGTTTTAGAAGCACTTTATTGAAATTCTAAAAACTGAAATAAAAAATAATCCAAAAAAATAAGAAAAATATAGAATTAAATAAATTCGTTAACTTTTTAAAAACTTATTTGAAGCTATTTGATATAATACTATTCACGGGGGTCAAATTTTAAATTATTAAAAACCTCAACGGTTTGTGGTCAGAATCAGAACTTCCTTGAATGAACGCCAGTGATACAGACATGGGTTTATCTGAGTTCCATCATAATTCAACAAGTGATAAAACGTTTTAATGATGATTTTGAACGGAACGATAACAATGAGAATGAGAACGAAGATGTTGACAATGAAATGGTGATGACAACAGTGATTAAGACAACAACAATAATGACAAAGATGATAACAACAATGATGACAACAACGATGACAACAACTATGATGATGATGACAATACCGATGATGACAACAATAATGATAACAATGATTATGTTAACACCGAAAACAACGAAGATGACAGTAATGACGATAACTAAAAAAAATGATGATTAACCATCAAGTTCTCTTTTATGATATTCTTCAACAGATATGAGCGCACTTTCTTTGTTAATGTAGTACACCTCAAAAGTGCCTGGCCTTCCTATTCTAATCTTCCTTAGTGGTCCACATGAGCTGAACAGCTCCTTCAAAAAATGATAATATCACACAATCCTTTATCAAAGTACAAAATTTCGCAATCATTGAGATCATCAATATTTAAATATTAAATAACAGAACAACCAAAACAACGAATTGAATGTTCCTTTTTATCTAAGTTATATAATTCATATTCCATCGTACATTAAAACATGTTTTTTTGACTAATTCAGAAATTTTTATTTCAGTCAAAATTATTAAAACCAGGTAATGTATTTAATATTATTTTATATTTTTTGTTTGTTTCTTCGCAGAGATTGGAACACCAGACTCGCCGATCAAGGATACAAAGTCAACATCAGCAAAACCAAAGCAATGAACACTGGTGAACCAATCCACAGCTACTGGAAGATGGCCCTGTTCAGTTTGTAAAACACAAACAACTATCACACATTTTTGTAGACCTTGAAAAAGCAGTTGATCGAGTTCCCCGTGAAGCAATCAGGTGGAGTCTACGTCGACAACTCATTCCAGAATATCTTGTTCGACTTGTGATGGAAATGTATACGAATACTAAGACTCTTGTCAGCACAACGGTTGGAAACACAGATGCATTTGACATCGGCGTTGGAGTTCATCAAGGCTCGATTCTCAGTCCACTGATATTTATAACTGTGATGGAAAAATACACAACACCGATACACACTGGTGACATTTGGAATCTAATATATGCTGATGATATCGTTTTAACAGCCACGTCTGAGCATAATGCAGTACAGATGTTTGAAGATAGGAACACCAGTATCTCGCCGATCATGGATTCAAAGTCAACATCAGCAAAACCAAAGCAATGAACACTGGTGAACCCATCCAATCCACAGCTACTGGACGATGGCCCTGTTCGTGTTTGTAAAGCTGGTGTAGGTAACAATTCAATCAAGTGTCAGCAGTGTAACCAGTGGTGTCACAAACGTTGTTCAAAAATAATTGGTTCTTTATCTAAAGTGTCCAATTTTGTTTGTCCTGCTTGCATCAATCCACAACAACAAATTCGAAATAGCAATGTTTTTGAAGCCATTAAAATAGAGAAAGTCACATCGTTTCAATATCTAGGGGATGTTCTGGATTGTACTTGAACACCTGAAGCTGCCGCATACGTGCAGCCTGGAATAAATGGCATCTCCTTGCCTCTATATTGATGCGGCGTGACATCCCACTACCACAACGATCAAGACTATAAATCTGTGATACGTCCGGTGTTGTTATATGGTGCAGAAACATGGCCAATGACAACCAAACTGAAACAAGAACTTCAACTGGAACAGCTGAAGCTGCCGTTCGAGCACGCATACGTGCAGCCTGGAATAAATGGCATCTCCTTGCCTCTATATTGATGCGGCGTGACATCCCACTACCACAACGATCAAGACTATAAATCTGTGATACGTCCTGTGTTGTTATATGGTGCAGAAACATGGCCAATGACAACCAAACTGAAACAAGAACTTCAACGAGCCGATATGAAAATGCTCCGATGGATGCAACGAATCATTCTGAAGGACCACATCAAATCTTCCGAAATCCTGCGTCGTGCTGGTTTAGATGATATAAAGGACGAATGCCGGCAACACCGTCTGCGGTGGTTTGGTCATGTCAAACGAAGTGGAAACAATGCCATAACTTCTCTTGCAGATGTTGAAGTACCTGGCACACGTCCCAAAGGCCGTCCAAAAACTCCTGGTCGCAAACAATCGAGCAAGACATGAAAGCTCTAAATTTAAATGAAATGGATACAACTGATCGTCTAATTTGGCGCAAAAAGTTGATGGCTAAGAAAACAACGTTCTACCTCGGGGAACCGGGTCTTTGGACGCAAAAACGAAGATTGATTGATTGATTAGATAGAGCATTTCGGAAGAGGTTTTTTAAGCATTTTGTAGGTGATATGATCAGGTCCAGGAGCTGACTCTTTACTGTTATTAATTTCAAATAGAATTTCTCTTATGGTGATAGACATACTGTATAATTCTTGTTCTTTAGAGTTGAAATCTAATATATTTTTTTCTTCTCTGGTTTTAACGTTTGCAAAGGTCTTATTTTGGTTTTTGAGTTTTGGTAGAAGTTGTTTGCTAATATATTTGAAACCTCCTCATCAGAACTGTATAATTTTTTATTTTAAATTATTTGGATGATTTTTTTATCATTATTTTTATTTTTCATTTTCTTGATCATTTCCCAGACTCTATTAAGATTATTGATGAAAAAATTCCAACAGAGCCTCTTTTCTTCTCTTACGGTTCTGCGAGCCTCAGCTTTTAATTTTTTATAATTGATGAAGTTGGATTGGATAGGGTTGCTTTTAAATATTTTGAATGCGTTTTGCTTCAGTTTAATTGCATCTCTGCATTTATTATTAAACCATTTATTATTATCATTCTCATTGTTATCGTTCTGTCCATTGCGTCGTCATCTATTGTCTCAAATTCTTTTCCCGTTTCTTTTGTGATTTTTTTTAATTTAAGCCTATCGGTTTTATTATAATTTAATATTTCTCTTTGATTGTTTGTTGAGGATTTATTTTTAATTGTTAGTATTATTGGGAAATGATCGCTGCCATGAAGATCTTCCTCAGCATCCTATTCAATATCCTCAAAGAGGGATGGAGTTGACAAGGCCAGATCAATTATGGAAGATGAGGGTGTGTTCTTGAAGAAAAGTTGAGACAGAGATCATTTTCAACTATAATTTTTTCCAATTTTTTTCCTTAAGGATTTGAACTTTGACAACCCCACAACTGACTGTGCCCATTGAAATCACCTAAAAAGAGAAAGGGTTTAGAGATCTGTTCGACTATCTGATTTATTTCCTTAGATTTCATCAATGATTTTGGGTTTACGTAGTTTTATTATATGTTATTTTAGATGCTACAAAATGGTGTTTAGTAGTAATATGATGTTGAGATTGAGTCATAATGTGATGAACAAAAATTGAAGTTCCAGCTGATGGGTTTGTTTTTGTTGAAGTGGCTGCTTTGTGGTATGCCACATAATTTTTTAAAATTATCTGTCTATCTTTAGTTATTTTTGTTTCTTGTAGACAGATTATATGTGGTTTATGTTTCTGAATTATTATTTGAAGTTCATCCCTCTTATATTCCATTAGGATTTTAATGTTGTTGTCATTTTTATCTAAAATATGATTGGGAGAAGAAATGTTAATGATATTTTTTTTTCCTTTGCCACAGTATAATTAATTATTAAATTTCAAGTTGGCTAATTTTAATTTATTTTCACCAGACATTTTAACATAAAGTAATTTTTTTAGATTTTGATGATTTTGTATCTTTGTGATTTCCAACATTTTCATCAATATTGATGCAATCATTGTTCTCATCCGTTTCTTCATCACTAGGGAAGTGAAAGGAGTCTATTTTGATTTTTCTTTTGGTTTAAATTATAGCAGAGATTTTGATTTGTTGTTTGATTTGCTTTATCATCTTTAGTTTGATTACAATCAGACGCTTTGACATATGTTGGTTTATATTTTACTAGTGGGATATTCAAGAAATTGCAGTGAATTCCTTTGTCAATTTTTGTAGACCTCTTTTCAACAATTTGAGAAAATAAAGGTTTACCTGCCTATGAGAATTGTGTTTTTGCTTGATAATAAGAGATGTTACATTTGGTTTTGCATTTTATTATCTCTTTTTCATTCTGAAATTTTTGACATTCTTTAGAGAATGTTTCATGCTTTTGTTTGCAGTGAAAGCAGTGTGGAGAGTTTTGGCATGGGGAATACCATTGATATTTATGCCCTGTTTTTCCACATTTGGCACATACAGTCTCCTTACTTGTACATATATCTTTGACGTTTGGTACATCTGATGGATGGAGGGATGAATTTTTCTACTTTTAGCAAATTATAGCAAACCTTTAACTCTTGAGGAACTTGTGTACTTTGGAATGTAAAAATAAAGGTGTTGGTGGATATTTTTTGATCATTTTTAGTAATTTTTATGTTGTAAATATCAAGACCATGCTCGAGCAGTTCTTCTTTTATCTCTTGAGCAGTGTTTAAAAATTGAGGTTCTAATCACACCTTAGCTAGTATTTAGTCTTTTGTGTGGAGTAGTTTTAACTTTTACATTTAACAGAGAATCTATTTTTAAAATTTTTGTCCTTTGTTCTTCATTTTTTATTTTAATTAGAACTCGATTTGGGAGTGCTTTAATGGATTCTATTTCTCCAACAAGATTTTGAAAAAACCTGTAAAGTTTAATTATGGATAGACGTCTGAAGTCGTGGTCTGGTGTTTGTGCTGTCGGTTCGATGACGAAAAATGGTGATAGCACACCCTCGACCTTTTCTGTTGTGGCGCCAGTTTGGCTGGCCCACCAAAGCTTTTTCAGGAATTTTCCAAGGAGTCAGAGATTTAATTAGTTAATTAATTAAATAAAACATATATTAAAAATTAAATGGAAGATATCGTTATTTGAAAAAAAAAATGATTTGAAGAAAATTTTTTGAGAAATCCAAGATAG